GCTGCTGCTGTACACGGCGCTGCGCTGCTCGGCTCCGCCCGCGGAGGGCGCGTGCGCGCCTGGGAAGCCCACGCTGGTGTGCTCCAGCGCGGTGGGGAGCTGGTCGTACTCGCAGCAGAGGCGGCAGAGGGTGTGCTCCGGGGAGGGCCTGCCCAAGACCGACCTCATGGCCTTCAGCCCCAGTCATCCACCCTGTCTGGTAGTGGGTGATATGAGCGAGCAACAGGATTTAAATGATGAGCATTGTGCCAAGGTAAGTCTGAATTGTCATAATTAAGTTAATACATACATGAAATATTAAATTGTTTCCTTAGAATTTCTCTTTACATTTTTCATTTTTAAAAATTTGAATAGGGCGCCTGGGTGGCTCAGTTGGTTAAGCGACTGCCTTCGGCTCGGGTCATGATCCTGGAGTCCCGGGATGGAGTCCCACGTCGGGCTCCCTGCTCAGCGGGGAGTCTGCCTCTCTCTCTGACCCTCCCCCCTCTCATGCTCTCTATCTCTCATTCTCTCTCTCAAATAAATAAATAAAATCTTTAAAAAAAAAATTTGAATAAATTTACTTACTATAATCTGTTCATTTTTTTCTGTTAACTATTGTAATCTATGTAGTTTGTTATTAGTCTTAATTTAAACTGGAATCAGACATTATACCTATTTGTGGTGCATTTTTAATATGCATAAGTAGTAGTATTTTTTCTAATTATTTATGTAGAATTTTCACTTCTTTGCATTTGATCCAGATAGTGGTTAAATAGAAATTCAAGGGAACTTGCACTTTGATCAAGTAATTCATATAAAATCTGTATTCCTCAGACACTGCAAATCTCTTATGTTTGAATTTTATTTGGTGTGTTGCTTTTCATGGAGATATTTCTTCTTTTTAAAAAAGTTTGTATTTGGGCGCCTGGGTGGCTCAGTGGGTTAAAGTGTCTGCCTTCGGCTCAGGTCACAATCCCAGGGTCCTGGGATGGAGTCTGCATGGGACTCCCTGCTTGCTTGCTCTCTTTCTCTCTCAAAAATAAATAAAGATTAAAACAAATTTTTACTTAAATTCCAGTTAATTAACATACAGTGTTATGTTAGTTTTAGGTGTAAAATTTAATGATTCAGCACTTTCGTGCAACATCCGGTGTTCATCACAAGTGGACTCCTTAATTGGGGTCCTCTGTTTAACCCATCACCCACCAACCTCCCCTCTGGTAGCCATCAGTTTGTTCTCCATAGTTTAGAGTCTGTTTCTTGGTTTGCCTCTCTCACCTCTTTCTCTTTCGCTCTTTTTTCCTCTTTGCTCATTTGTTTTGTTTCTTAAATTACACATGAGTGAAATCATATGGTATTTGTCTTTCTCTGACTGACTTATTTCACTTAGCATAATACCCTCTAGCTCCATCCACGTTGTTGAAAATAGTAAGATATCATTCTTTTTATGCTGAGTAATATTCCATTGTGTGTGTGTGTATATGTGTGTGTTTGTGTGTGTGTGTATATATATATATATATACAACATCTTCATCCTTTCATCAGTCACTAGACACCTGGGCTGTTTCCATTTTTGGCTATTGTGGATAATGCTGCTATAAACATCAGGGTGCATGTATCCCTTTGAATTAGTATTTTTGTATCCTTTGGGTAAATACCCAGTAGTGCAATTGCTGGATGGTAGGGTAGTTCTGTTTTTTAACCTTTTGAGGAACCTCCATGCTGTTTTCCAGAGTTGGCTCCACCAGTTTGCATTCCCTCCTACACTGAAAGAGTGTTCCTCTTTCTTCCCATCCTGGCCAACACCTGTTGTTTCTTGTGTTGCTGATTTTAGCCATTCTGATGGGTGTGAGGTGATATTTCATTGTAGTTTTGCTTTGTGTTTCCTTGATGATGAGTGCTGTTGAGTGAGTATTTGTCATGTGTCTCTTGGCCATCTGTGTGTCTTCTTTGAAAAATGTCTATTCATGTCATCTGCCAGTTTTTAAGTGGATTTTTCATTTTTTGGGTGTTGAGTTCTATAATACTTAATATATTTTGGATACCAACCCTTTATCAGGTGTCATTTGCAAATATCTTCTCCCATTCTGTAGGTTGCCTTTTAGTTTTGTTGATTGAATCCTTCACTATTTAGGAGCTTTTTATCTTGATGAAATCCCAATAGTTTTTGCTTTTGTTTCTCTTGCCTCAGGAGATATATCTAGAAAGAAATTGCTATGCCCACGCCAAAGATGTTACTGCTTGTATTCTCTAGGATTTTTATGGTGTCAAGTCTCACATTTAGGTCTGTAATCCACTTTGAATCTATTTTTGTGTAAGAAAATGGTCCAGTTTCATTCTTTTGCAGGTTGCTGTCCAGTTTTTCCAGTACCCTTTGTTGAAGAGACTGTCTTTTTCCCATTGAATATTCTTTCCTGCTTTGTCAAAGATTAATTGATCATATAATTGTGGGTTCATTTCTGGGTTTTCTGTTGTGTTCTGTTGGTCTCCATGTCTGTTTTTGTGCCGATACCATACTGTCTTGATCACTACACCTTTGTAATATAACTCAAAGTCCGGAATTGTGATGCCTCCAGCTTTGTTTTTCAAGCTTGCTTTGGCTATTCGGGGTCTATTTTGGTTCCATACGAATTATAGGATTGTTTTTTCTAGCTGTGTGAAGAACGCCGCTGATATCTTGATAGGGACTGCATTAAATGTGTAGATT